ACCATTACCTGTGTTGTTTTCTGTCGTAGCGTTACCTTTGCGGTTTTTGTCGTAGCGTTACCTGTGTTGTTTTCTGTCGTACCGTTACCCGTGTTGTTTTCTGTCGTAGCGTTACCTGTGTTGTTTTCTGTCGAACCGTTACCTGTATTGTTTTCTGTCGTAGCGTTACTTCTGTTGTTTTCTGTCGTATCGTTACCTGTATTGTTTTCTGTCGTAGTGTTACCTGTGTTGTTTTCTGTCGTTCCGTTACTTGTGTTGTTTTCTGTCGTATCGTTACCTGTATTGTTTTCTGTCGTACCGTTACCTGTGTTGTTTTCTGTCGTAGTGTTACATGTGTTGTTTTCTGTCGTAGCGTTATCTGTATTGTTTTTTGTCGTAGCATTACCTGTGCTGTTTTCTGTCGTAGCGTTACCTGTAATGTTTTCTGTCGTAGCGTCACTTGTATTTTTTTTTTGTCGTAGCGTTACCTGTAATGTTTATTGTCGTAGCGTTATCTGTATTTTTTTTGTCGTAGCGTTGCTTGTATTTTTTTTGTCGTAGCGTTTCCTGTGTTGTTTTCTATCGTACCGTTACCTGTTTTGGTTTCTGTCGTAGCGTAACCTGTGTTGTTTTATTTCATTGTTACCAGTGTGTATTTGTGTTTTTGTGTAACTTGTGTTGTTTTGTGTCGTAGCGTTACCCGTAATGTTTTCTGTCGTCGCGTCACTTGTATTTTTTTTTCGTCGTAGCGTTACCTGTATTGGTTTCTGTCGTAGCGTTACCTGTGTTGTTTTCTGTCGTAACGTTACCTGTATTTTTTCTGTCGTAGCGTTACCTGTATTGTTTTCTGTCGTACCGTTCCCTGTGTTGTTTTCTGTCGTAGCATTACCTGTGTTGTTTTATGTCGTAGCGTTACCTGTATTGTTTTCTGTCGTACCGTTTCCTGTATTGTTTTCTGTCGCAGCGTTACCTGTGTTGTTTTCTGTCGTAGCGTTACCTGTGCTGTTTTCTGTCGTAGCGTTACCTGTGTTGTTTTTTGTCTTAGCTTTACCTGTGTTGTTTTCTGTCGTAGCGTTACTTGTGCGTTTTTTGTCGTAGCGTTACCTGTGTTGTTTTTTGTCGTACCGTTACCTGTGTTGTTTTCTGTCGTAGCGTTACCTGTGAGTTTATTTCGTCGTAGCGTTACCTGTGTTGTTTTCTGTCGTACCTTTGTTTTCTGTCGTAGCGTTACCAGCGTTACCTGTTTTGTTTTTTGACGTAGCGTTACCTGTGTTGTTTTCTGTCGTACCATTACCTGTGTTGTTTTTTGTCGTAGCGTTACCTGTGTTGTTTTCTATCGTAGCGTTACCTTTATTGTTTTCTGTCGTACCGTTACCTGTTTTGTTTTCTGTCGTAGCGTTACCTGTGGGTTTATTTCGTCGTAGCGTTACCTGTGTTGTTTTCTTTGTCGTATCGTTACCTGTATTGTTTTTTGTCGTTTCTGTCGTAGCGTTAATTGTATATATTTTTTGTCGTAGCGTTACCTGTAATGTTTATTGTCGTAGCGTTATCTGTATTGTTTTTTATCGTAGCATTACCTGTGCTGTTTTCTGTCGTAGCGTTACCTGTATTGATTTCTGTCGTAGCGTTAATTGTATATATTTTTTGTCGTAGCGTTACCTGTAATGTTTATTGTCGTAGCGTTATCTGTATTGTTTTTGTCGTAGCGTTACCTGTATTGTTTTCTGTCGTAGCGTTACCTGTGTTGTTTTCTTTGTCGTAGCGTTACCTGTATTGTTCTGTCGTAGCATTACCAGTGTTGTTTTATGTCGTAGCGTTACCTATGCGGTTTTTGTCATACCGTTAACTGTGTTGTTTTCTGTCGTAGCGTTACCTGTGTTGTTTTCTGTCGTTGTCGTAGCGTTACCTGTATTGTTTTCTGTCGTATCGTTACCTGTGTTGTATTCTGTCGTAGCGTTACCTGTGTTGTTTTCTGTCATAGCGTTACCTATGCGGTTTTTGTCGTAGCGTTACCTGTGTTGTTTTCTGTCGTACCGTTACCTGTGTTGTTTTCTGTCGTAGCATTACCTTTGTTGTTTTATGTCGTACCGTTACCTGTATTGTTTTCTGTCGTAGCGTTACCTGTATTGTTTTCTGTCGTAGCGTTACCTGTGTTGTTTTTTGTCTTAGCGTTACCTGTGTTGTTTTCTGTCGTACCATTACCTGTGCGTTTTTTGTCGTAGCGTTACCTGTGTTGTTTTTTGTCGTCCCGTTTCCCGTGTTGTTTTCTGTCGTCCCGTTACCTGTGTTGTTTTCTTTGTCGTAGCGTTACCTGTGTTGTTTTTTGACGTAGCGTTACCTGTGTTGTTTTCTGTCGTACCGTTACCAGTGTTGTTTTCTGTCGTAGCGTTACCTGTGTTTTTTTCTGTCGTACCGTTACCTGTGTTGTTTTTTGTCGTACCGTTACCTGTGTTGGGTTTTTTTCGTACCGTTACCTGTGTTTATTTCTGTCGTAGCGTTACCTGTGTTGTTTTCTGTCGTAGCGTTACCTGTATTGTTTTCTGTCGTAGCGTTACCTGTGTTGTTTTCTGTCGTATCGTTACCTGTATTGTTTTATGTCGTAGCGTTACCTGTGTTGTTTTCTTTAGTACCGTTACCTGTAATGTTTATTGTCGTAGCGTTACCTGTATTGTTTTCTGTCGTATCGTTACCTGTGTTGTATTCTGTCGTAGCGTTACCTGTGTTGTTTTCTGTCGTATCGTTACCTGTATTGGTTTTTGTCGTAGCGTTACATGTGTTGTTTTCTGTCGTAGCGTTACCTGTATTGTTTTTTGTCGTACCGTTACCTGTGTTGTTACCTGTGTTGTTACCTGTGTTGTTACCTGTGTTGTTCTCTGTCGTATCGTTACGTGTATTGTTTTTTGTCGTACCGTTACCTGTAATGTTTTCTGTCGTCGCGTTACCTGTGTTGATTTTTGTCGTAGCGTTGCCTGTGTTGTTTTCTGTCGTAGCGTTACCTGTGTTGTTTTCTGTCATATCGTTACCTGTGTTGTATTTTGTTGTAGCGTTACCTGTGCTGTTTTCTGTCGTATCGTTACCTGTATTGGTTTTTGTCGTAGCGTTACCTGTGTTGTTTTCTGTCTTAGCGTTACCTGTATTGTTTTTTGTCGTAGCGTTACCTGTGTTGTTTTCTTTGTCGTATCGTTACCTGTATTGTTTTTTGTCGTAGCGTTACCTGTGTTGTTTTTTGTCTTAGCGTTACCTATGTTTTTTTTGTCGTAGCGTTACCTGTGTTGTTTTTTGTCGTAGCGTTACCGGTTTTTGTCTTAGCGTTACCTGTGTTGTTTTCTGTCGTAGCGTTACCTGTGCGTTTTTTGTCGTAGCGTTACCTTTGTTGTTTTTTGTCGTAGCGTTACCTGTGTTTTTTTTGTCGTAGCGTTACCTGTGTTTTTTTCTGTCGTAGCGTTACCTGTGTTGTTTTCTGTCGTAGCGTTACTAGTGACCCGTATAACAGTAAAGGCAATATTAATGTATCAAAAATGTAGTTTCCTAAATAAAGCAAATAATGCTTTCTGGTCTTGATCAGCTAGTTTCTTTTTCGCCTTACCAAAGTTTTCAGTATAGTTAAACAATAGCCCAAGGTACGGATAAGAATCTATAATTTCAATTTCCTCTCCGCAAAGCATAAATGTACAATTGATTTTCGATTTTCGTTTCGAAAAACCAACTATTTTAGATTTATTTGCATTAACATGTAATTTCCGTATTTTACAATAATCGCCCAATGCATCTAAAGCTTTCTGTAGACCCTCGGGCGATTCTACCAGTACAACAGTGTCCTCCGCATATAACAAAATACCTGTGCTGTTTTATGCGATAGTGTTTCCTGTGTTGTTTTGTGTCATAGAGTTACATGTGTTAGTTTGTGACGTAGTGTAACCTGTGTTGCTATGTGTCGTAGCGTCACCTGTGTTATTTTTTGTCGTAGCTTTACCTGTGTTGTCTTGTGTCATTATGTTATCTATGTTGTTTTATGTCATAGTGTTTCCTGTGCTGTTTTGTTTCATTCTTACCTGTGTGTATTTGTGTTTTTGTGTAACTTGTGTTGTTTTGTGTTGTAGCGTTACCTGTGCTGGAAAGTGTCGTAATCTTACATGTGTTGGGTTTTTTCGTTATTTTTACCTCTCCTAATATGTGTTGTAGCATTACCTGTGCTGGAAAGTGTCGTAATCTTACATGTGTTGGGTTTTTTCGTTATATTTACCTCTGCTAATATGTGTCGTATCGTCAGCTGTATTATTTTTTGTCGTAGCTTTACCTATGATGTCTTGTGTCATTATGTTATCTATGTTGTCTTGTGTCATTATGTTATCTATGTTGTCTTGGGTCATTATGTTATCTATGTTGTCTTGGGTCATTATGTTATCTATGCTGTCTTGTATCATTATGTTATCTATGTTGTCTTGGGTCGTTATGTTATCTATGTTGTCTTGTGTCATTATGTTATCTATGTTGTCTTGTGTCATAGATTTACCTGTGTTGTCTTGTGTCATTATGTTATCTATGTTGTCTTGTGTCATTATGTTGTCTATGTTGTCTTGTGTCATTATGTAATCTATGTTGTGTTGTGTAATTATGTTATCTATGTTGTCTTGATGTTATCAATGTTGTCTTGTGTCATTATGTTATCTATGTTGTCTTGTGTCATTATGTTTCCGGTGTTGTTTTGTATTGTAGTTATAATTTTGTTGGTTTGTGTCATAGTGTAAACTGTGTTGTTTTATTTCATTGTTACCAGTGTGTATTTGTGTTTTTGTGTAACTTGTGTTGTTTTGTGTTGTAGCGTTACCTCTGCTAATATGTGTCGTAGCATTACTTGTGCTCTTATGTGTCGTAACCTAGCCTATGTTGCTTCATGTGTCAGCTTCACCAGTGTTGTTTTGTGTCGTAGCGTTGGCCTACTTGATGCGAGTCGAAACCATACCTGTGCTTGTTTTATTCTGTCTTTATCTGTGCTCGTTTTGTTGGTGAGGCGGTCTTACCTTTGTCGACTTGATAGGGTAGCCACACATTCCTGGAGGAGCGAACTGGAAGGGAATCCAGAACAGTACACTGTAGTCCTCTGATATCTGTATATGATCCACATGCCTGTATATAGTAAGAAATACAACAAAGGCGTCAGTAATGCACACATAAACAGAAACAAAAACAAAAGGTACAGACAACATGAATTCCGTGAATCGTCAGCAAAACCCTAGTTATCGTTATTGACGAATATCAAATACCATACTTATTCCGAATCTATTCCTTATTCAAAAGCGCGTATGACAATTAAGCGTTAAATCTACATACTATGGTAATGCTGGTCGACAATATTATCCTTAAAACCTGTAATTACATAAATCCCTACCAAGCAATAGTTTTCTAAACATCTACGTCTAATCCTGAACAGTGCTAAAATTGATATAAACCACGCAAAATAGTGTTCGTTTCAATTAAAATTTAATGTAAAACAATCCAAATGTCAACACACATTTGGACAATATCGGAAGTTACAGTCGATAAGACATGACAAGAGTACTGAAGATACCAAACCAACAGTGAAAACAACATGAACCCTATAAAACTAGTGAACTACGATCGGTTAAATATTTCCTGCGTCTCATGTGCCCCAAGTCATTGATGTCTTCCGTGAAATACAGGAAAATGCATAGGTCACCAACGATCTAAGATCCTTTATCATGGAAGAAACTAAATTATCCAATGTTAAAAGTTGGTTCGTACTATATTCCCCAGCGTACATTGTCTTCTCTCCGGTAGACAGCACATGCTACTCATGATGCAAGTCAACTTAATCTATCCCGACAGCATAGATATGTAGAACAGGCTATGGAGTAGCAAATCAATTGTTAACTTCACAAGCAAGAGATAATAGAATTGGAATGGAAACATGCTCAATTTTTTTTTAAAGTGAAGAGAATTGATGATTTAATGAGAGAGACTCGGTATCCCGTCTGTAGTACATACACTAGAGCCTGATAGATTTGAGTAATGGTTGGCAGCGATCGGCGAGGATAGTTGATGGTGATTGGACAGCGAAAGGAACCATCCGTCTGTGTAGTAACATATTCCAGGTTCGTGGCAGTGACGACTGGACTGAACTACACATCGACATTTCTGGCGATTATGATGATTTTACATCTAAAACCTTTTTAGAGTTGGAGGATTTTATCGAAAGTGAAGCCCAAGGAAAGTAGATCCAGCCGAAGGACTGGCAATCGTGATTTCTCTCGAAATTACCAGCTGATTAGTGTATTAGTACACTGTTAGCAAAGTCTGCTTCATCAGACTCTCTGATGACTTGGTAAAATAGCCTAATTAAAGTATTTTAGTCAGCTCCGCGTATGCTAAAACATCTATTTTACATGTGTCGTGTTTCATACTTTAATTCTCCGTTTATAATGTCTTTTACGATTTTTAACCAGTTTAATGTTGGTAATGTCCCTTTGGATCCAATTAATTAATTTAGCCTCTTCCGAAATGTCCGAAAACCCATCATAACCAACACCTTTTTTTGTGTTTGTTAGATTTGACGTCATTTCCGTTGCTTCAAAACTGCTTCTATATTACGCAGACTCTGATTGGCTTGTGATGGTTGTCACACAGCAAGAACGTTGCCATGGGTGTGGATAGGTTTAGTATATCATAGTCATGTTGAGGTAAGTTTTCGTAAAGAAGTAAAATAACTAAATATATTACGAACCTTGTGAATCTTACTAAAGCAATACAGGCAGTTACATTTATCAGGTCGGGCAAAACAAGTCATTTCACTTGTTTTATTACAAGAAGCTGTTTTACTGCAATGGCGAAAATTCCTTCTTGCCTGTTTCTCGTGAACGTTTTACGCGATGGCAAAAAGGCCCTAATGTCCTTTTGTCCGTTTTTTTTTTTTTCGTTGTAAGTTTTCGGAACGATGATTGAACATTTATTTGGGATAATGACGCGTTGTGCTTTACCGATAATATAATCTCCATATAAAGTACAATTGCAGTTGTGTAATAAATGAAATATTATGAAAATGTGTCCATCTGACATTTCAGATTTAACCCCTTTCTTGCCCGAACGTAAATATTTCTCTCATGAAAATGCACAGTTGAACGCATAGGTGCGGTATGCCTGTTCGTGGGATGGTGCTAATTCAATATGTCACAGACTGCATGCTCTGCATCGATTAAATGAGAATTCAGAAGATGAATATGAGAAGTAAAGCTTCAGTTTCATACTTGATAGAAATGTGACGTTTTCCTCTCTGTATCTTTTATCGACATTTCTGAAGAAACGATCCATGTGCATGTTCAGAGAACGAAGAGACTCGCTGTATCATATTGCATATCATACGAGGCGACTTATGTGGGGCCCCCTGCAGAATCTGAGGTGTTGGTCTATGTCTTCTGTTCAGGGGACTCTAAGAAACCATAATTGATCTGCTTCTGCCGTTGCAACACTTGGTTGTTTATTTTTTTGTGGCGGTGTCTCCCTAGGCACCCGCCTTCATATAACCTTAGCTGTTGCGCTGACATTAAACCCTCACCAAGCAAACCATCTGTGGAAACGATGTTACAATAATTGGTTACACTTCTTCATTATGGAAAGCGAGGGTGTGATAAATTTTATTATTATTTCCAAGCAGGCGATGATTGCAATTCCAAATCACAATTCAATTCACTGACATGATTTATGAGAATCTAAAGAAAAAGAGGCGTCGGAGTTAATTTTACTAGCAAAAACTAATGTCTACAAAACCGTTATCTGAACTTACAATCTAAAAATCTATAAAAGTGCGGCAATATATAGGGGGGGGGGGGGGGGGGGG